GGGGGGGGGGGGGGGGGGGGGGGGGGGGGGGGGCTCTCCTCAGAACTCTGACCCAGTCCCCCCCACCCTCCCACAGGGAGAAGCGCTGGGTGACTGTGGGCGACACTTCCCTTCGTATCTTCAAGTGGGTGCCAGTGGTGGACCCCCAGGAGGAGGTGAGCAGACTCTCCCACACTAGGCCCTTCATCTGTGCAACCTCAGGCAGGCCCCTCCCAACCCTGGCCTCCACCTCCAGTCCCACTCTGAGACCTCAAATGCAGCAGCCAAGACAGATGCTAACAATTACTGGCAACTCCACCCCCTTCTCCCTTTTTCTTGTTTCAGAACCCTGAGTTCAAGACCTAACTCACGGTACCAACCACTGTCACCTGATGCAGGGCCTTTTGCTTCTCTTTGCCTCAGTTTCCTTATTTGTACACTGGAGGGCTTTGCAAGCACTAACTGAAAAGCTGTCACTGACCCTTATCCCTCTAACCCCCAGGAGCGACGGAGGGCAGGTGGTGGGGGAGAGAGATCCCGAGGCCGGGAGCGGCGGGGCAGGGGCGCCAGTCCCCGAGGGGGTGGCCCTCTCATCCTGCTGGATCTCAATGGTATGTTAGGGATCCTGGGATTTCGGGGGTGGTGTGGGCTGGGAGGTTGAGGGAGGGGCTTGGGACCCTCAGGCCCAACCCGCTCGGCTTTTGCTCCCACAGATGAGAACAGTAACCAGAGTTTCCATTCGGAAGGCTCCCTGCAAAAGGGCACTGAACCCAGCCCTGGGGGCACCCCCCAGCCCAGCCGCCCTGTGTCACCTGCTGGACCACCGGAAGGGGTCCCAGAGGATGCTCAGCCCCCACGGCTGGGCCAAGAGAGAGGTAGGACCAGGTGACTCCCGGCAGCCCTCTCCTCTGAGTCTTGTCCTCTGCAAAGTTGAACCCAGCAGCTTACCTGTACCTGTACCTGTTCCCCTCCTATGTTATTCCCTCCCGGAGGCCTTCCCTGACTCCTGCAGAAAGTCACCGCCCTATCTCCTGTGAATGTCTCATTCATCTGGCTTCTCTAGGTCTTTAGATAACTAGTCACTGTCTGAGATTTCCATGTAAGTTTTATTTTTTTTACTACTCCAGTTTCTTTTCCGGCTCCCACCTCATGTCAGCTTTCTGAACCTTGGGCTCATGTTGCTTCTGTTCATTACTAAATCCTCAGAACAGCGTGGAACATATAGAATGTGCTCAATAAATATTTGTTGAGGAGTAAATAACAGTGATATTCCTGAGCGTGATTAGGACGTGAAAATAACAGCTAAGACTTACTGAGCTCTGTGTCCCAGACACCCTTCTAAGCACTGAACATGTTTTATATCCTTACTATAACCCCATGAAGGTTATGATCCCCATAAGTGGGTGAGGAGCTGAAACCCAGAGAAAGAAGTCTCCCCAGCTCACATAGCCAGTGAGCCAGCATCTTGGGGCAGAATTCCTCCTCAGCTCCTCTTTGTTTCAAATAGTCAAAACCCTGCCTGGTCCGAACCACCTCCCAAATGGGTCTACAAGCGCCATCTCTCACCCCTGCCTGGCTCCAGCCTTCTTATGGGTCTCCTTGACACAGATGCCAGACCACCTTTTTCTAAAGCACAAATTTGGCAGGATCGTTTGTGCTTCAAAGACTTCAGTGGCTCCCTATGGCCTTTGATTCCTCCACTTTGCCCTTTGGGCCCAGTGAGTGACCCCTGCTGGTCTCCTTGTTCCTTTCCAACAATACCATGACCTGGGCTTGTGGACTGTGTCTCGATCGCACCTTTACTAAGAGAAAAACAACAGGCATTTATTGAGCCGGTGCTGTGGGCAAGACACCGGATAAAGCTAAGGGCTTTATCCATAACATCTCATTTCATGCTCGCCACAGTCTCCTGTGGGAATTACTTCTCATTATCCCCATTTACAGATGGGGAAACTGAGGCCCAGAGGAATTAAGTCACAGGCTCAAGGTCAGGATTTGAACCCAGGGAGTCCAGCCTCACAATCTGTACTCACTAAACATATGAAACATATGTTCTGTCTGCCTCAGATGTGCCCCATTTGTCTCTCTGATCAAATCCTGCTCACCATGTCGCGATCCCACTTCCATGTCCTTCCTGTGGCTTCTGCCTGGCTTGCAGCCAGGTTCTCAGCGCCCTCCTCGGTATCCCCTGGCCCCGGGTCTGTGCTGTGGTACAGAGCAGCTGCTCAGGGAATGTCTCTTCACTTGATGTTTTAGATCCTGGAGCCGTAACTGCAGGCAGCACCGATGAACCCCCAATGCTGACCAAGGAGGAGCCTGTTCCCGAATTGCTGGAGGCTGAGGTGAGAGAGGCCGGAAGGCTGGACTCCCAGGTCGCTGATGCAGTGGGGGCTCTGGGGCAGCTGAAGGCTGGGGGGCTGTACTCCTGAGGTCCAGGCAGGAAGTGGAGACCTCAGGCATAGCTCAAGTCTCAGAGGCTGGGTTCTGGGGACAGAAAAGGAAAGGGTGTTTTAAGACAAAGTCCTGTGGGCTGGATTGGGGCAGATTTAAGACCATTAAAAGCCTGAAAAGATCATGGTGCTCCTCCAAGTATTTTATTTTATTTTTTTTTTTATTTTAGTCCTAAACTGTCAAATTAGCTTAAGAGAGTCAGTCCCCCACAACTTCTGACTTTTCCCACAAGGACTACCTTAATGCATTTTCCAGAAATAGCAAGTATCACCTTCTTCCCCCAAAACAGTGTTGTTGTTTCTGGTACCCTCCTTCCTCTGCTTCCTGGGGCCCCCAGCCTGGGCGAGACTCCTAGGTCCAGGAGGGGAGTGCAGTGGAGGTGATGGAGAAGGCAGGGGCTAGGAGGCTGCACTCCTGGGTTTGGGTGGAGCTCACGCCTGTCCGCCCTTCCTCTCCAGGCCCCTGAAGCTTACCCCGTCTTTGAGCCAGTGCCACCTGTCCCCGAGGCAGCCCAGGGTGACACAGAGGATTCGGAGGGCGCCCCCCCACTCAAGCGCATCTGCCCAAATGCCCCTGACCCCTGAGAAGCCGGCCTGCCTGTCCTGTCGCCCCAAGGGCCCCTTTGGCTTTTTACAAATAAAGACCCTTTTGTAATTTTGTGTCATGTCATTTCCCCGTCAGGGCTGGGGAGGGTCTCTGGAGACAGCTTTGTCTCATGCTCCATTTCTCAGATGGAGTCACTGAGGCTCTAAGGGCACCTTCCTATAGTCATACCATGAGTCAGACATAGAATGGGAGCTTAAGCCAGGACCCTGCCTCCCCAAACTCCCTCCACCCTGCCCTGTCCCCTTAGCTTTGACCCTTCCTGACCTTCAGCCCTCCTCCTTTGGGAATCCCAGGACCCCTCTTCTTCCTGTTCAGCGCCCCCCCCCCCCCCCCCCGCCGGGCCCAGCAATTACCAAAGCTCTGGGCACCTGTACCATGATTCCTGTTCATACACAGGATCATACACAGGAACACAGAGGCCTGGAGGGACTTTGGGGTCTGATATGACCCAACCTGTTCCTTGCCCTCAAGAAGCTGCAACATTGTACCCCTGCCTCTGCTTAGCCATCCCTCCACTGGAACCCCTCCCCACACTTCTGGCTGAGTCTTACTTGTCCTCTCCTCAATCACCGCCTCCTCCAGGAGGTCTTCCCGGACCCCTGGCTCAATCGGTTTCCCTTCTTTTGGGCTTCCATCACCCGCTGTGCCTCCTCCTCTTTGTCTTGGCATTTATCAGGCTGTTTGGGATGGCTCATTTGTGTGTCTGTCTTGTCCACTAGCTTTTGGGCTCCTGAGGGTTGATCTTGGTCCTCAGCCTTATCTAGCACCACACTGGGCATAGAGCAGTGATAGCAACTGGTGAATGAATGAATAGATGAATATGCTGAGGCTATCCAGGAAGGCTTCTCTGAGGAGGTAGAGTGTGAGATAGGAACCTCGGTGTGGTAGATCTGAAGTTCAAATCCTGGCTCTGTCACTCACTAGGTGTGTGGCTCTCTGCATCCCATTTCCCCTCTCTGAGCCTTAGTTTGTTCATCTGAGCAATGGGGGCAATAACTAGGCCTCATCTGCCCTAGTGGTTTGTGGGAACCTTCAAATAACATGCACTCTGCCTGGCAAAGTGTTAGAGTTAGGTGTTTTAGCCCTCTTTTTATTTGTAACAAAGGTTAAAAGGTTCAGAGGGACCAAACTGGAACTTTAAAAAACTGTTTTAAATGGAGAGCTGTTTTCTGATAGCAGCTGTCATAGTTGTCACAGTGGAGTCAGTGGAGCAGACGAGATGTACAGTGACATGGTATGTTCATTTCTTCTTGCTGCCGCAACAGATGACCACAAACGTACTTAGTCACTTAAAGAAACACAGATTCATGATCTTACCGTTCTGGAGACCAGAGGTGCAAAATTAGTCTCACCGGGCTAAAATCAAGGTATCAGCAGGAAAAGGAAATTTTTCCTGGTTCCTCCAGGAGCCTGTGGGGGAGTGTCTGTTTCCCAGCCTTTTCCAGCTTCTACGCACCACCCGCATTCCTTGACTTGCACCCCTCCCCCATGTTCAGCGCGGCTTCTTCCAGTCTCTGTCTCTTCTTCCATCATCCCGTCTGTCTCTGCCTCTCCTGCCTCCCTCTTCAAAGGAGGCTGCATTGGGCCCATCTGGATGGTGCAGGAGACTTCCCATCTCAGGACCCTTAACTAAATCCCACCTACAAAATCTCGTTTGCATAAAGTAACATTCACTGGTTCTGGGATTAGGTCGTGGGCATCTTCACCCAGCATTTTTTGGGTGTGGCGGTCATCTCCTTATTCCCCTCGGTCATCCCAGGAGTTGACACAAGGGCTCTGTCAACTATAGAGTGCCTCGTATGGCTTAGTAGAACAGCGTCAAAGCCCAGACCACAGGCTCTGGGTTTGAATACCAGCATCTCCATTCATTTGCTTGTGACCTTGAGCCAAGTGACTTAACCTTTCTGGGCCTCAGTTTTCTCATCTGTAAACTGGGGATACTAGTAACATCAGCCTGGTGAGAGTGTTGTAAGGATTAGATGAGGAAGTTCACGGAGAGAGTGTCTTTGGCTTTGACACATATGAGTGCTCAATAAATAGCAGCTATTTTCATGTTACTCATTTTACAGATGAGGATATGAGGGTGTAGGGAGAGAGGCCAGAGACTTGCCTGTTGGTTAGACTGGGGAGGAAAAGTCCATTTCCGAGCACACTTGAAAGGCTGAAGTTCGAGTCACCCCCGTTCCTGTCCCTCCCTTGGTCCCAGACACCAGCAATCTGTCCTCTCTCCCAGGCCTGCCCCCTCCAGCTCCCTGATCCACTCTGTTTTAAACTCTGGTTTAAAATCCACCTCTAGGGGCACCTGGGTGGCTCAGTGGGTTAAAGCCTCTGCCTTTGGCTCAGGTCATGATCCCGGGGTCCTGGGATCGAGCCCCGCATTGGGCTCCCTGCTCATCGGGGAGCCTGCTTCCTCCTCTCTCTCTGTGATCTCTGTCTGTCAAATAAATAAATTTAAAAAAAATAATAATAAAATAAAGTAAAATCCACCTCTTTCATGGCAACGCCCCCCAGTCATCACCTTACCATGCCCTCCCTGCCTCCCCCCTTCCAGTCCCTCCCAATGTCCATGCTCTCTTTTTGGAAATTCATCCATCCCTGGCTCTCAGGCCCTGGCCTCTAGTGCTCCCCTATTCTCTTCGGCTCATGACTCTCTCCTCCTCCTGATCCCTTAAACATCTCTTGTCCGGCCTAGCTCTTCTCTTCATGAACGCTCCCTACCAGGTCCACCTACTCTTGGAATGAACGGCGTCCAGGTCTCTGCATCCAAGTGCTGCGCCCTCCCTCTAGACTCAAAGACCCCTGGGATGCCCAGACCCTTGGTCCCCTCCTCCTCCCAACCTGTTCCTCCCATCACCTGCACCCAAAAATGGCCCCTCAGTCCCCAGATCAGAGCGCCTGGAAGTCAGAGTTCTTTAAGTCTCTATCCTGAGTAACTCTCCCATCTGCCCCTTTCTTTAGGGCCCTCCTGTTTGCTAGGTACCTCCTGGTGGGTTTCCTGCTTCCCTTTTGCCCACCCCCAGTCCCTTCTCCACCTAGCAGCTGGGCAGTCTCAGAAGCCCACTGGTACTGCCCTGGGTGAAAACCCTCCTTCCTGGCAGGATGGAGCTACCCCCTGCCCCTTCCCCACCACCCCTGCACTGTTCCCCTGAGAACTGCTTATAATCATACTGTGCTGTTTCTCACCTGTGGGTCTTTGTTCATGCTGTTTGCTCAGCCAGGAGCGTCCCTCTTATCCTCTCTTCATATGGGGGACACATTCTTTTTTTTTTCCTAACCTTGGCTTCCCCATGACTTCCGTTGTCATGCCCCCTGCCTCCTCCTGTGCCCATTTCACAAAACATCAGGCATTGCCTTGGGATGGTCTGTGTTGGTTTCCGTCTTAGGCATCAGTCTGCCAGCTCAGCAGGGGCAGAATTCCTTTATTTGTAGCAACATGTATTTATTGTGCACTTACTGTTGGCTAGGGACTCTTCTAGGCCCTGGGAAATGGAAAAAACTTGTTGCTTTCTTGGAGTTTACCTTCAATAAATTATATCATCTGTAGGAAGTTATAAGTCCTTTGTTAAGAAAATAGAGTCCATGATATTTTATTATAAAAAGTTTGAAACATGCAGCAAAGTTGTTAGAATTACACAGGTGACACCCCCATACTCCCCACCTAGATTCTGTAACATCTTACTGTATCTGTTTATCACATCTCCTAATCCATCCATCTGTCAATCTAGCTTATTTCTTGACACACTTAAAATAAGTTGCAGACGATAGGGTACTTCCCTCTAAGTACTTCAGCATGCCCATCATTAACTAAGGGTCCAGTATTTACAGATTTGTCTTGTCCCTTGAAATAAAATATCCACATAGTGAAATGCATAGGTATTAATTTTATGATTCCATGAGTTTCAACAAATGCATGCATCTGCATAACGCACGCTCTCACCAAATACATCATTATCCCTTCTGGAAAGTTTCCTGTTGCCCCTTGCGCCACTTGCAACCCCCACCCCAACTCCTCAGAGGCAATCACTGTTCTGGTTTTGTTTTGATTAGGGTAACCTGTTCTAGAACTTCTATGCATGGAATTATAAGGATGTACTTCTGTGCATCTGTTTCACTCAGCATCATGTTTTTGGAACTCATCTGTACTGTTGCTTGGATCAATATTGTGCTCCTTTCTATTGCCAGGTTATAGTCCATGGACTTGGCTTTGACTAGGAATGCTCTGCCAGATGGAGAACAGATAGGTCCAAGTCCTCTCCCTGTTTCTAGCTCCCTGCACAAGGCTGTC